AACTGAAAGGAACAACAGAGAACTGAGTGCGATTGAGATGTATCAGCGAAGCCGTATTAAATCAATCAAACTCCTACCAATCAATATTTGGGAATTATACTCTTTTGCACCGAGTACTTTCCATCCCTAGGTCTTCAACATTTAATGTCGATGATAAAAAGTAGAAAATATGTGCAGTGGATATCACAAAATCCACTACTACGTTCATTGGCAATCAAAATGGCAATGAACATATAACGACAGTTGGGTTTTGGATATTTTGAATAATTAAAAATGCCCATTAAAATATACAAAAGAATGGATACTGAATAAACAATACTCTTTTCGATAACCCCTTCACCATCAGGCTCTACACTTATATATACATTATAGTGAATGAATGAATTAGTGTTATGATCAACATTAATGTTGTTTAAATAACATCGAATCAATAATAATCATATCAGTGGATTACAGTTCAATAGCATCAACATAGCAATAAAATGAGTGTCAGAACAATTAGGAAATTTAACAATACAAATTCATGAATCTATAGTCCCTACTGAAGGCCGGCCAGGGCAGTAGTAGTGGCTGGCTGGACTTGCTTCTTTTGTACACAGAGCACTGGTTGTTTCACGCGAATTGCAATAGCGTCTGCTATTTAAAGCATGCTGTACTTCGATGTTTTTGGCAATTTATTTGGTACCCGGTAGGTGGTAGAGAAGGATTCTTCAACGCTGATTGGCTTTGTGACCGGTTTGCACCACCAGATGGTTCAATATCGAACTGTTAATGGTTTTCACTACACCTTTACTTAGCCATAGTGGGAGATGTTCTGGAGCAAGCACGAAAAATTAAGTTCGTAAAGCAACGGCTAATATATCTCTCTCCTCAAGTGCAAGTGAATTGGTAGATCGAATTTAAAGTGCTTAGTCTATGTACTTCAACTATCAGCCGAGGATTCACCAGTAGTCGTATAAAGAATAAGCCGTGTTGTTCATAACACTAATTCATTCATTCGCTATAATGTATATATATAACTGTAGAGCCTGATGATGAAGAGGTTATCGAAAAGAGTATTCTTTGTTCAGTATCAATTCTTTTGAAATTTTGTTCAACTTGTCAATTAGGTAAATATTCAATTTTCAATGTTTCTTCACTTATCTGCATTACTTTTGTGGAGAAAATTTTACATGACAGAGAAATTTCGTTTATTTTTCATGTAATACAAATATATACATCAATATTTTACGAATTTAAAGGAGTTAGTTTGCTAAATAGCCACATATTAATTTTCTCGTGTGTGGATAAATGTCAATGTTCAATATAATGTGAAGTCCATTGGGTCTATGAAGTGTTTTAAATTATATTGTAAAACTAGTTCACATTTTTGAAATACCTTTGGGAATACAAAATTTCATACAGTATAAAGAAAAGTATTTTTTTAAAGTTGATTCTAGATAGTTTTAAGGACAGTTACTACTTTTCTTTCAATGTTCAATGCGTTGATTGAAGCTTTACAAATGTAGCGTCAAATTCAAATGTCAAGCTGTATAGCGTATCATGTGGACATCATTGTTAGCGTATTTAAATGAACAAAAGATATAAATGAAGATCTGGGGTAATTTAGAAAAATGATGTGATCTATTACCGGCGTCTACAGTAGTCAAAATGTCGGAAAATAATTCCAGTTTGCATAAATTTTGATAAATTATCTCTTGTTTGTAAATGATTTATGATTAAATTTGATGAAATCCCATAATACCAACCTTTAAACATTGTGAAGTACTTTCTTAAGTTTATGCATATCAATATTTATAAAAAAGTTAGTTCAGATGACTACATAATAAATCTTAACCTAATTGGATGGAGGATTTCATCATGAGCTGACAGCAGTTAGAGAACCACTGGAAAACCTGGGAGTACCAGACAAATGTTTCGTCCCATTTTGGGACTCATCATCAGACAGTACGTATCCACTGGCGTGCAAACCTAGCACCTTATAGTTACAAGGCAAGCTCGTAGACCACTGAGCCACTTGGACCCGATCCAATTGCCTATGAATCCTAACTTCTGCCAATTCATGACATACCGCGACCATTTCGCAGTGTCTTCTTCCATGAGTTAGTGTCTCTTCTTCAACCTGCTGTATCCTACTGGTTATGGATCCGCACAAAAACCCCTGGGTTCGAATCTCGGTGGGTGCGTATTGTCCACTGATGAGTCCCAAACTAGGACGAAATAGCTGTCCAGTACTCACAGCTTGTTTTCCAGTGGTTCTCTAACTTATGTCAGCTCATGATGAAATCCTCCATGCAATCAAACAAAAAATCCCTACAAAACCAATACTTGAAAACTAAAGCTAGTTGCTCAATGTAGAGTTGGTGATTTGAAGACAGTGATATACTGGACCAATAAGAAAACTCTACAAGGTCTGAATTTCGCAGATCATTTTTGTCTAATGCGTCACACAAACTCAGAAACTTACAGACGAGAAAAACCAACAAACCGACAGAAGAAGCAACGAAGATAGTATTTCAAGGGAACATAGAGAAGACGGGATTGTGAAGACAACCAACCAACAACAACAAAAACTAGTAGTAGTAGTGTGAGTGCTGGCGGAGGGGTGACGGATGAGATTTCCAACCGTATAATGAAGGCTAGGGTGGCATACATCAGCTTGAGCCACCTCTCGCGCCGTCGTGACGTTAGCCTGGTTGTCAAAGGTCGGGTATACAAGCTCTACACTTGTGAAACCTGGCCTCTCCGAGCTGAGGATGTGTGGCGACTCTGCGTGTTCGATCATCGCCGCCTCCGCAGGATTGCTTGCGTTCGATGGCATCATCGTGTGAGTAATTCTGAGGTTCAACGGCGTGTGTTTGAACACAGTGGAGATCACCATTCATTGAGTGTCGTCATCTGGAAACACCGGATCCGGTGGCTTGGACATGTGCTGCGAATGTCATCCCAGAGACTTCCGTACAGGTCTCTGTTCGCTAGCCCTGGGACGGGATGGAAAAGGCGGAGGGGTGGTCAGTCCATGACGTGGCATCGTGGGATGAAGGATATTTGTGCTAGATTAGCATCGGTTGGTGCGTCACATCTCCCTGGTTGCAGTCCGAGAGATAGCTCGAATCGATGTCTCAAAACGTTATCGCATATGGCCAAGAATCGTAATCAATGGTGAAAGTGTTGCAATTTCCTTCTTTCTTCCCTTCCTGATGATACTTAACGAATACTGTTTGAACTTGTTAAACATGACTGTTTTCCTTCCAGATGAAGTTCATTATCCGTTTTCTACTTATATATTTACTGTTTATCTATGCTGTTTTATTATTATTGTGTGGCGCATCTTTCTTGGTGCCATATTGTACGAAGTTTTTTCTGCGTTTAAATAAAATGAAATAAAAAGTATCAGCCACTGGTGACGGAAGAAATTTGAAAGAGGTCACTTCCTTCACTTATTTGGCAGGGAAGCATTAGTTCAACCGCACGCGACAGTACAGATGAAGATGTCCAATTCAGCCAGAATCAAAGAAGCAAGATACACCTCCATCATTCTGAAATCAGTTTGGAAATCTCCTGCTCTCCTCAGAGGCCTAAACAATAAGATTCCGATTTTCAACTCTATGAAGTCAGTCAGTTCTTCTATTTGTGTCAAAAATATAGCCGGCGCGTCACAAAATGGATTTACAACAGCCAGCTGCAGACTTACATCAATAGCTGCAACTCAAGCTGGCTCCACATTGGAGATCAAATAGCCAGTCAGATAGAATTAGTAACAAGTAACTAGGGGTACAAGCTAACCAAGAACCTGTCGTTCAACAAATATGCAGGATAAAATGGAGGTGGACTGGGCACACTCTGAGGAAACCCACGGATGGCATCAGGTGCCAGGCCATCGCTCGAATGGAATCCGACAGGGAAATGACGAGCTGGGCGTGGGTCGGAATGTTATATGGAGGTGATCATGCCAGGAGTTGGTAAGAGGTTATAAGCAGTTGTAGGCTCAGCTGAGGAGTACAACAGAGAATAGGACAAAGTGGAGGTGTTTAGGTGAAGCTATGTTTTCCACTTGGAACCCAAGAGAAAAATTATGATAAAGCAGGTGGTTTGTCTTTTGGATCCAGAATCAGTGGGTTCACAGCGGAGTGAGTAAGCTACTAAGCCATCCTGAAGTATGATATGATCGAGACTTCTGGTAAAGCCATTAAGAATAATACGTGAGGCTTAGAGAGCACTTTCATTGTGAATTAAACGCTCTTTCTAAAGAACAGACATTTACTCTCTGACTGTGTAGACAAACATCGGAACATTAAATAGGCGTTTTACGCTTCAAACGCTGGTACGATAAATTGCGATATCAAGAATTTACTCAGCCTACTTAGAGTCCAAAAGATTGTTTAAATGAGTGGAAAACCGCATCGTACCAGGAAATTGAGGGTCTTTAATATCACCTTAGGTCTACAGCTGAACGACTAGTGAATACAATCAGGAGATATAGAATTCTCATGTGGCCTCTCTCCAAAGTTGCACAGTTATCCAGGAGTTCATATGTACGGTATTAAATACCATCTAGTGTCAGAGGTTAATTGACATTCTTTTTACAAATTAAAATCGAAGTATGTGAAATTAACGATGCTTGAAACGTAGAGAATAATCCTACGTAATCTAGAAACTTGACAACTAATTGGTTAATTGAGGAATGGTCATTCTGGATATAACTGGTGGCAAAATGTGCCGCAAAAAAGGACAATACAGGGATTATAGTTATATGACAATTTCAGAATATATGATCCATACTAAAACCGTCTTAGTAAAAGAGGTTGGCAAAAGTCTTTCTGAACACAATGTTCATGAGGTCTTCGATTGAATGATGAAGATCCAGTTGAAATCCATTTGGACACCATGATTCTAATTTATATATGACTCACGATGAAGTATTTGGTGTTTGTGCTTGGTGGCTTCCTTAAAACTTCCATCTCTACATTGCATACATTTTCTCTCGTTAGACTTGTTTGAATCGATTAAGATATGACCTATAAGGATAATATCTACTCTTGTGTGTATTGAAAATATTTACAAACTCCTGATTCACAAATTCCTACTAAACTTGAAGAATGGCCTGACTGTGAGTGGCAACGTGTTCCAATACATGGGAGAATTGTTCTTCAGCTATGTCCTTGGGTCACACAATTTACTTCTGACCATCTTACCATTGTCTTTCAATTAGATATCGTCGATTTCTTGAAGGAGACATGGCAGGTAAATCAGAATGGAATGGTTTTTGCTTCAGCTCAGAGACCGTAGTGTCCACAGGCAGGATCTACTGTTAATTAATATTTCACTTGAAGATATTGTACGAAGGGAAAATATCATGCAGTTAAAATCCTCTTAAAATTCTGTACAATTTATCAATACTGTTCAGAATAAAGATACAATTATTACTATTATTAAAAGTATTGATGTATTCTAGAATCAAGCTATTGACTATTCTAAGGTTTCTTCTTTTATTATAGCTTGATTCCACACCTTATTTTTGGTACAAGTATGGAATTTTCTGAATGTGATATCGGTATCCCAAATTTTGCAGGCCGACCATTGATATCGAGTGTGCGTTGGGCGGGGATTGAACCCCGGACCATGTGCATGGTCGGCGGGAGTCCTAACCGCTGTGCCAGCGACGCGCAAGCACTCTGGAAGGTGCCCTTCTGATGACTGCAGTGAAATGAACTCCACAAGAGCAGGTTTACTGTCGAATTAACAGTGAAATTGGTTAGTTTTCGTCAGACGCTCTCTCAGGAAAACTGAAATACTACTCATAATGTGCTCATTAAATCAAACAGGAATACACGTATTACTGTATGTATAATTTCCGGGATTATCAGATAATCTAAATCATACTAAGGGTATCATAGACTAACTGTTTGGGCAGAAGATTGTATTCTCAAGGATTATTAGAACATCAAAATCCATAAGGGTCCAGGTGTCTTCAAGTGATGAGGCCCAAAGAGGATGAAAGTAAGATTTCGGATTTCACTGGTAGTCAAACAAATAAAGTTGTGCTTGCCATCAGATATAGTCAAGACAGTGTTACTAGGAGGTGACAAGTCAACAGCGACGGAGCTTCTTGACTCAATGAAAATGTGTCAAGGAGAAATCCAAATAGGAAACTCCATTACGGCAATATTTTGTGCTCGAAACATGGTCATCAGTTAGTACTACTGTATAACAACACTGTGTGATTTATCAAAATAAAATCTTATCCATAATGGAGTTATACTCTACGACCACAGTGCTCAAGTTTTTTACTTACATAAAATATAGGCTGTATAAATCAAACTTCGTTTCTTCTCTTTCATGCTGGTAGGAGACTCAGGTGGAGAAATTTGAGAAAAGGACTAATTACATTTAGAGTCAC